TAAAGACACTGACTGTATATAAAGACGATCACTGACTGTATATAAAGACGATCACTGACTGTATATAAAGACACTGACTGTATATAAAGACGATCACTGACTGTATATAAAGACACTGACTGTATATAAAGACGATCACTGACTGTATATAAAGATGATCACTGACTGTATATAAAGACACTGACTGTATATAAAGACACTGACTGTATATAAAGACACTGACTGTATATAAAGAAGTGAAGTGTTCGTCTGTGTCTTGCAGGTTAAGGGAGCTCCTGCACCATGAGCCGAACCAGGACCTCACCCCTGTTTTTCACCAATCAGTTGCTTCTCTTGTTGACCTTCATCTCAACTGAACTGCAGTTATCTGCAGCAGGAGGTTCTGCTGAGGCCCTCGGGTCCAACGGCACAGTCAGCAACAAAACCAAATGTGGTGGGATCACCACCTGCAAAGAGGGCGTCATCCTGCCAGTGTGGAAGCCGGACAACCCGGCCTTCACCGACCGCCTCGCCAGAGCCACCATTTACTTTGTGGGGTTGGCGTTCATGTTCCTGGGTGTCTCCATCATTGCTGACCGCTTCATGTCATCCATCGAGGTCATCACCTCCCAAGAAAGACAGATCACCATCAAGAAACCAAATGGTGAGAAGATCACCACAACGGTGCGGATCTGGAACGAGACTGTTTCCAACCTCACCCTGATGGCGCTGGGCTCCTCCGCCCCAGAAATCCTTCTGTCAGTCGTGGAGGTCTGTGGTCACAACTTTGACGCCGGTGAGCTCGGCCCCAACACCATTGTAGGAAGTGCGGCGTTCAACATGTTTGTCATCATTGGCCTTTGTGTGTCTGTCATTCCCGAAGGTGAGACCAGAAAGGTGAAGCACCTCCGGGTGTTCTTTGTCACAGCCACCTGGAGCGTCTTTGCGTACATCTGGCTGTACCTGATCCTCGCCGTCTCTTCTCCAGGGGTTGTTGATATATGGGAGGGGCTTCTCACACTCTTCTTCTTCCCTATTTGTGTTGGCTTTGCCTATGTGGCCGACCGCAGACTTCTTTTCTACAAATACATGTACAAACGATACAGAGCAGGGAGGCAGAGAGGAATGATCATCGAAACTGAGGGAGAACCACAGCTTCCCTCAAAGGTCAACGTTGAAATGGACAGAAAGATGCTCAGCTCGTGTGGGGAGGAGTTCGTGGACGGAGACACAGGGTTTGATATGAAGGAGCTGGATGAGGAGGAGGCCCGCAGAGAGGTGGCCAGGATCCTCAAGGAGTTGAAACAGAAACACCCCGAGAAGGACATGGAGCAGTTGATGGAGCTTGCTAATTATCAGGTTTTAACACAGCAACAGAAGAGTCGAGCATTCTACCGCTGTCAGGCGACCAGGATCATGACAGGAGGAGGAAACATCCTGAAGAAGCACGCCGCTGATCAGGCCAAGAGAGCCACACTGCACAACATCTCCTCTGAGGTTTCCAGCAACGACTTTTCCTCCAAAGTTTTCTTTGACCCTGGTACCTACCAGTGTCTTGAAAACTGCGGCAGCGTAGCACTAAACGTGGTGCGTCGAGGTGGAGACCTAACAAGCATGGTCTCAGTGGATTACAGGACCGAGGACGGCACTGCAAACGCCGGCTCGGACTACCAGTTCACCGAAGGAACTATTATGTTCAAACCAGGCGAGACTGAAAAGGAAATCCGCATTGACATCATCGATGATGATATTTTTGAGGAAGATGAGCATTTCCTGGTCTACCTCAGCAATGTGAGGGTCATATCAGAGGGTGCTGGCTCAGACGGGGGCGAGGCTAACCACGTGGACGCCCTGGCAGGTTTAGGTCTTCCGTGCACAGCCACTGTCACCATCTTTGATGATGACCATGCTGGTATCTTTACATTCGAGGAGCCAGTGGTCACTGTGAGCGAGAGCATCGGGATGATGGAGGTGAAGGTGCTTCGGACCTCAGGAGCTCGAGGAGTTGTGGTGGTGCCGTACAAAACCATGGAGGGGACGGCTAAAGGAGGTGGCGAAGACTTCGAGGATACACACGGAGTCCTGGAGTTTGACAATGATGAGATCCTGTGAGTACAAATGTTTTTTAATTTAACTGCTGAGAGACGAAAATATGCGCCTGGAGGTAATGATTTCCACAAGGCATTCTGGGAGTTAGCGAGAATTGTAGTTTTTGTAGAATTATAGTTTTTCATGTTGTTGTTGACGTTGTCGACCTGTGGTTCGGGACATGTTGTCCTGTCAGTGAGTCCATGTGTCCATTTCAGCTACAGTCAAATTAAAGTACAAGACTCAAAGTGATCAGTTCAGGAGGAGACGACCAGATGTCTCTGAGGAGACTAAACTGAACCAACAGCTTTTATTCTTTAGACTGAGACACATGATGGTGCCAACAGAAAACCAGAGGGTTGAAAATATAAAGTGTATTTATTTGTAACAGAATGAAGCAGGTTCTTCTTCAAACAACAGATTTAACTACGTTCTACTTTAAATGAGGAAGTGATGGTCACATGACATCCTGATCAATACCACGCAGCTGTTTTATTAAAAGATCATGTTTGTATTCCATGCGGCTCAGTGACCGAGCTTCAGGTTTACATGCTTCACATATCTCTTCAAACACTGTTTCCATGTCTGTGGGCAGATGGAATGTAACGCAACACATTTATTTCCAGAGCATAAACACGGCCGCTGGCTGTGAGGGATGAGGCTGACATCTTGAAATGGAAAAGGTGCCACGCTGCTCCTTTGTTTCAGTTTATTAACGATGACGCTGAGAACGAGACGCTGCCTTATATAGATCAACTGTCTCACACAGTGAAATGACTTTAATTCAGCTCTGTAGGACAGAGGACGTTGTCTTATTGGGAGATATATATTTATATATTTAACATGTTTCTGGTGACTTGTTCACTTGAGACAAGGGGACGAGGCCTGTGGAGGCTACACCATCTGATTGTTTATATATACAGTCACTGATTGTCTTTATATAGTCGATGGTTTTGGACCTTTATGTTTATAGATTGTCTCCTAAGAATTCATTCAATTCCTCTCGTTCCTTTCATTGTGTGACTTTACTTTGTGTAGAACAGGTTTGTGGATGTGTGTTGACCGAGATCAGTTTGTGTGTCTGTGGTCTTCTGTCCTGTGTTGTTTGCGGATTTCCAGCTCAGTGTTTCACACGTCCTTCGTTGTGTTGTGAGTCTGCAGCTCCTGGTGTGTTGAGCAGATAAACATCATGCAGCTCTCTTCCTTATTAGGACAGCGTCTGTTCGGCGGCAGCTGCAGGATCCTGCTCATCGTCGCAGGATCAGCTCATAAAGCAGCCGGACACCTGCAGCTCGTTCCCGTCATAGACAGGGGAGGTGACCGCCGGCCACAGGCCACACCTCCACCCTCACCCCACTGGTTACCTCCACACAAAACAGACTTACTGTACCTGCAGCTCCATGAATCACTTGTCTTTATACATTAAATCAAAGTACTGTTAAAGTTAACTTGACAACTTGAATGTCTTTGAGAAGTGGAGAAGTCTCAGAGAATTCAAAGCTTCTTAGTCTCTTCTCGCTGCTAGTTTAGATTTCCAGACCAAGCCACTACACTGAGCTGCATCCAAACATCGTTCATCACTCGATGTGCAGACAACTGACTGGTGATTGGTCGTTACATGTGATTGAGCTTCATTGACCGACGTCTGTGTGAGAGACAAACTCGTGACTCAGCTCAACCTGATTCCACACAGCTCAACTGGACTAAATACTGAGGAGGCTGACTGGAGATTCAGACTCTCAGGTTTGTTTTCAGACAGTAGGGCTTGTTAGCCTGTTAGCTTGTTAGCATGTGGCTCTTCCTGCAGCCTGTGGTCTTTAGAGAGACAGTAAACTTGCTGTTTTTTCAGATTAATTCTTATATGAAAGTAAAGACTCTCCTGATTATTGATCACTGATCTGCTGGGAAGATGAAACACAAACTTCCTTACATGATGATGAAAATGTTGTGAGTAAGAGTTAAAACCTTCAAACCAACAATCTGCTGAAATGAAATAAACATGCAGGTGGATGGAGGCCGTCTGTTTCCTTGGCACACACACACACAAATCTGTCCAATGAGGGCTGCCGTCGCCGCAGGAGAATGATCTGTCCAACACCCGAAGGCAGAAGACATTTTCTGTGTCATCAAACTGGTCTGAGCTGGAAACTCGGCTCTTATCTCGGTCTGACGACCTGAGTGTGATAATCGTCACATCTGTAGGACCCAAAGAGTCCGCCACCTCTTGACTGTGTGGTTTTGAACAGACTCGACAGCAGAGAGGACGTTCTTGTTGACGATTTTCATTTTCATGTGTTTACACCAATCACGGTTTTTGGAAACATGTTTTTCTGTATGTGGTTTTGTGGCTGTTTCTCTTCAACCTTGTTTTCTTTCGTTATCGAACTTCGAACGTCTTCACGCTCCTCCCTTGGCAACCTCCTCTTCTGCTTTCTCTTTCTTTCAGCAAAATTATTCAGATCAATATAATCGATGATGAAGAATATGAGAAAAACAAGAACTTCTTCCTAGAGATTGGAGAACCTCGGCTGCTGGAGATGAGTGAGAGGAAAGGTGGGGGCGTCGCCTTCCTGTGCTGTAACCCAGCCCACATCACTAACGACCTCTGATCTTTGTTAATCAAAGCTCACCTCATGGCCTCAAAGACAAAACATCCTCAGACTCACTTTGAAAAAGTCACAATGAACTGAACACGCTGGCCTCAGTGTGACATCACTCTCTGAAGATTACATCGTCTCTGATGTCATCCACAGAAATCCAGTTTGAAAGCAGAAATTCAGATTCTGCAGAACTTCATGTAGCATATTGGTGTTTTGAAGTTTCCCTCAGTATCACAGTGATCCAGTGTCCGTTCATCACTGAGTTCACTGTTAACAGGAAGTGACCTCAGTCAATCAGCTGCTTTTATTTTGAAAGAACATGAGCTAACAGTCAATTCAATGGCTTTTATTTTGACAGTTTGACTCAATGGGAACAGATAAAGGAAATGAACTGTAGCTGACTTCACAGCTAACTCACTGAATCCATGGCAACATTATACTTCCTGCCCAATTTCCCTAAAGCATTGTGGGAACTGTGGTGAACATAAAGATTATGACTCATGATTTTACTGCAGGTTTTTTCACAGCATCGCTGTAAGTAATGTAACTGGACCATTTTTACTGAAGTGCATTCTGGGAGTTGTAGACTTCTTGACTTTAACTCGATGAGAAAGTCGTGTTAGTTTCATTGTGACTTCAACCTGAGAAAGTCTGCCCCCTGCTGGCCTGATGAGGTGAGCTCACCCCCCCCCCCCCCTCCTTACTTTGGTGTCACCACCGTGACTTAGCCTCCATGTTGACAGAGTTCTGTCAGACTGAATCTGTCTGTCGAAGTCTGTGTGTGAATGTGTGTTGTTGGACTAATGCATGACCTTTGACCTCTGACACCCCCCTCCACTGTTGTTGTCTGTACTCTGTCATTCGCAGGAAGACAGTAACCGTTAGAATAATTGACCATGAGGAGTACGATAAGCAGGCGACCTTCTACATAGAGCTGCAGGAACCGTACTGGAACAGGAGGAGATGGACAGGTGTGAGGAGGCACCTTGACCTCTCTGCTGACCTTTGACCTTTCCCTCATCTACCTCCAGTCCTTCTTTGCCTGCTTTTGTTCCATTTGTTCTCGCTGCTGTCGCTCTGTTTCTGTTTCTCTGTTGTCTTCATGGCGCCATCGGCTGGCCTACAATTAGTCGAATTGTTACTGAAGCTATTTTACAATCTGCTGTGATTGGTAAGGACAGGTCAGTTGGGACAGGTCAGTTGGGACAGGTCAGTTGGGACAGGTCAGTTGGGACAGGTGTGGGACAGTTAGGACAGGTGTGGGACAGTTAGGTGTGGGACAGTTAGGACAGGTGTGGGACAGTTAGGTGTGGGACAGTTAGGACAGGTGTGGGACAGTTAGGTGTGGGACAGTTAGGACAGATGTACTGTAGTGTTGTGTTGACCCTGACATTCAGGACAGGTCTTGACTGTGTCTTTCTTTTTCCTGCTTGGTTTCTCTGACTTGTCTCTCGTCTGTCTCCTCTCTTCAGCTCTGTTGCTTCAGGAAGTCGGTAAGATGATCGATTTTCCTTCGTCTGTCCTGCTGCTGTTTGCTTAAACACTGAAACATCATAAGTTTAAAGAGTCACAGAAAATCACAAGCAGCTTCTCACTTCTTTCATATTTGTCTCAAACTTTCAGGTGGATTCATCAAAACAGGTGAGTAAAGTAACACGCGAGTATTTTCTGTTGATCTGAGTTCATTTCATCCTTCTGTTGGATTCTTACGAGACAAATGGCTGTATGGTAAGAAAACGTTTCAAAGTGTTAAAGCAACAAAGTTTACAATAAGAGAGATGTAGCACTGGAATGTCACAGTCACAATGTCACATATAAATCTGTATACATATATGTTTGTATAAACATATACTGTATATATATATATGTGTACATAAATCTAAGTCAATCAATCAAATTCATTTGTATAGCTCATATTCACAAATCACAATTTGTCTCATGAACAAGGTGTGACATCCTCCGTTCTTAACCCTCAACAAGAGAATATAAAGTCTGTGTGTGTGTGTGTGTTTGTTTGTAATAATCAGATAAATTTTTCTTAAAGGTCCAGTGTGTAGAATTCAGTGACATCTAGTGGTGAAGTGTCATGTTGCAGCTGAACACCCCTCCCCTCCCCCTCTCCATCCAAACATGAAGAAGAACCTGTGGCAGCTTCAGTTGTTATAAAAACTCAAAAGGTTTTAGTTTGTTCAGTCTGGACTCATGTAAAAAACATGGCGGCCTCTGTAGAGAGGGTCCCCTCCATGTAAATATAAAGTATTTAAATATAAAGTATTTGAATAAAAAGTGTTTAAATATAAAGTATTTAAATATAAAGTATTTAAATATAAAGTATTTGAATATAAAGTGTTTAAATATAAAGTATTTAAATATAAAGGGTCTTTTCTGGGGTAAAGAAAAATACAATTCATACAATTAAGATGAAACAAACTAGTGAAAACATCATGAGATTATTACTACATTAAATTTCTGCCAATAGATCCTTTCAGCTGAATCTTACACACTGGAGCTTTAAAGGTGAAAACGTGTCCTTGTCACTTCCTCTTCAGCGACTCAGTCAATTCTTTTTTTCTCTGTTTATTGAAAACTTGGATGAACAAACTCAGAAGCCTGAAAACGTCCAAGCAAAATATAACTCACCAGTTATGTCAGTAGCTTTTCACTGTACATCTGAATCTAATTCATTCTAATGTGAAGATTTTACATATGAACACATCAGCCAGTGACTATTTTCATGTAAACATGTGGAGGAGTGATGTCGTCCTGAGCAGAGTGATGTCACATGTCCTCTGGGTGTTGTGTTGTTTCTGGCTCCTTTAGTTTTTTTCTGTTGGATGAAGACTGTGATGCTTCAGGTCGACATCAGGAACATGAGTTCTGTGTTTCAGTAGAATCTGTTTCTATTCACCCGTTCACCTGTTCACCCGTTCACCCGTTCACCTGTTCACCCGTTTACCCGTTTACCCGTGTACCTGTTCAGGAAGAGATGTCTACAGGAAGGTCCAGGGACGGGAGCATCCGGTCCCCTCTGCCATCATCAACATCACAGGTACATTCTTCTGTCCATCCGTCATCCATTCATATTTCCTCCATCCATCAATTCACTCATCCATCCATCCATCCCTAATTCATCCCTCTGTTCATCCATTCATTCAATATTTGTGTCAGGGGAGGGGGGTGAGGATGTTTGGACGAAGAAGGACGAAGAGGAGCGGCGGATCGCGGAGATGGGTCGACCAATGCTGGGCGAACACGTGAAACTGGACGTCATCATCGAGGAGTCGTACGAGTTCAAGGTGCAACAGGTTTCTCTGCATCGTCTTCATGAAAACATAGAAACAAACACGACATCCTCCACATTATCGAAGCACCCGACTTATTACTGGTACAGGTTCCAGTCTTTGTGCTAAGCTAACTAGCGTCTGTTATCACATTGTGATACTTTTTTCCCATTTGAGATTTTCCGCGTAACGATCTCCTCAAAGTTACTGATCATGAAATGTAATAATCCTCAGAGCGAAGATACATTTCTCACATTTTGTCAGTTTGTCTCGAGAGACAACGCACAGAATTCGCATTGGCTCAGCCAGCGTGACATCTGGCTCATGCTGAGAATCTGGAACGAAAACTGAAAAAAGGGATTTGAACATGATGGATCACTGTCTCCTGTGATCTCCTGTTCTGTTCAGAGCACCGTGGATAAACTCATCAAGAAGACCAACCTGGCTCTGCTGATCGGGACCAACAGCTGGAGGGAGCAGTTTGTGGAGGCCATCACTGTCGGCTCAGGTACAGACCTGAAAATGTTTCTCTCTTTGTCTCTGTCTCAGTAGATTGTGGATGTGAGGGCAAAACAAATAGAACAGGAGAAGAAAACAGATTCCGTAAGATTCTATCTTTAGTGACGAACTTCACAAAACACAAAAATATCAGTGTTGACTCGAGCATCTTCCTCAGGTGATGATGATGAATCCGGTGAGGAGAAACTGCCCTCCTGTTTCGACTACGTCATGCACTTCCTCACCATCTTCTGGAAACTCCTGTTTGCATTTGTTCCTCCCACCGACTACTGGAACGGCTGGGCCTGCTTCGTTGTCTCCATCTCTGTCATCGGTATGCTGACGGCGGTGATCGGTGACCTGGCATCTCATTTCGGCTGCACCGTCGGCCTCAAAGACTCCGTGACTGCTGTGGTGTTTGTGGCTTTGGGGACTTCAGTACCAGGTCTGACACAAACCTAACCTTCTGTGAATCCCACTGTGAAACATTCATCTTGTCCCTACTCCCTCTCTCCCTCAGACACCTTTGCCAGTAAAGTAGCAGCCACCCAGGACCAATATGCAGACGCCTCCATTGGCAATGTGACAGGAAGCAACGCGGTCAACGTCTTCCTGGGTATTGGCGTGGCCTGGTCCATTGCTGCCATCTATCACTACTCCAAGGGCCAGCAATTCAAGGTCGACCCAGGAACGCTGGCCTTCTCCGTCACACTCTTCACCATCTTCGCCTTTATCTGCATCGGTGTTCTCATCTACCGCCGGCGGCCTGAGATCGGCGGGGAGCTCGGTGGTCCCAGAGTCCCAAAGATTCTCACCACCTGTTTGTTCTTCAGCCTGTGGTTGATGTACATTGTCCTCTCCTCATTAGAAGCCTATTGCCATGTAGAGGGATTCTAAGATTTATGCTTCTGAAGGGTTCCAACAGAACATGAATGGTTTTGTCTAAATGTTGTAAGATTCCTGACAGTTGGTGGATTCCATAAGGCTCTAGAGGAACTGCATCTTCTTAACAGGTTTTTTGAATTTTGGATGAACTCTACAGTTCTAATAGGTTCTGACAGATTTATAAACACAGATTAACATATTCTGAAAGATGCTTGTAGTAGTTTTATGTTCTTTAAGAGGTTGAAACCATTGCAGATGGGTTTGTAAAAATCCCAAAGGTTCCTGCAGGATTCCACAGATGTTTGAGTGTCTCTATTAATCTCTAAAGGTTTTGGGGGAACCCTGAAAACGTGTGAATCCTCTTTTTAACTTGTGACATGTTGGACTGTTGTCTGGCTGCTGAGTGTTGGTGACCGCTGAGACTTTTCAGTTTTTCATCCTTACCTCCTGAATATTTAAAGACTTATCTGCATCACGAAAATATTCACCTGTACCTTTAAGCAAAGTATAACTTTAATCTTGACGTGCATGGACTTTGAAACCATAACCACTGTAGTGACCACCATCAGCCGTGGTGAAGGAGGAGGCAGCTCCTGCTGTAGACGTCTGCAGGAGCTGCAGGGTAGTGATGCACCTATGTGAATATCTGCACTAAGTTTGAAACATAGCTCATTTTTAAGTTTGGGAGGTTCCATAGTTTGGTGTTAAAACTGCACGGAGAACTTTTTCAAACAGAGACTCTCTGCTCCGTTGACTTGGACCTGAACGTCTGCAGCAGTGAACTTTAATGTTATAATCATGTGAATGAACAAGACCATTCATCACAGTATGATGTGATTGGATGTTTCCCTCTAAATATTAAAGGTCAGTGAGTCACATGTGGACTTTGCTCTCGAATGTTTCTAAATCTTTCTCGTCTGATTGGTCAAGTTAATGATTTTAATAAGTGTTATGACAGTAAAATGTTTACATGCTGAAATGTTCAGGAAACACACCACTGTCCTCCTCCTGTCTCTTTAAGACCCCTGTCCTGATAAAGCCCAGTCTGCTCTGATTGGTCAGCTGATTTACTCTGCTCTGATTGGTCAGCATTTCTTTCACTACTTAATCATATATTTATATTATTTCTATAAAACATAATAAACCCAATTTCAAAGCTGTTAATGTTAAAATAGAAGCACACAACAGACCTTTACACACAAATCACAGCTATAAAGGGCCGATTGGAGGATCTGTAACCGCTCAGCTAACTTCTCTCAAACAGTCGGCCTCGTTTCTCTGTAAATATTTATACTTTTACTGCTAAAACAGTCTTGGGTTAAACTGACCCCGAGGATAATAGAAGGGTTAAATCGTTTATAAGACAGAAAGAAACATCACACGTCTCCTTGGTGCAACAATAGATTCTGAGAACACGATGCTGTGACATGACGACTTTCATGATGGAAGCTGATGTTAACAAGTGTGTGTAATCTGATCCAAATAAAATAGTCAACAAGCTTCACTCCTGTTCGTCTGTCCAGACATGTGAATCAAATCAAATCCACAAACACAAACATTATTATTATCCCTGATCTGAAACTGTACAGTATTTACATGAAGTTATTCATATTCTTTATAATGTCAATTCTTTTTAAAAAGTAACTGACAAGTTAGAAATAGTTTTGTTCCGACATGATGCGATGAAGATGACAGACGAGGTTCTGCTGCTTGATCAGGTGAGGAAGAGGAGGGAGAGTGTGGATCAGGCTTTGTTGGAGCTGAAGATTCCGACAGGAAAGTGTTTGACGTGCGTCGGCCACTGGGCGGCGAGCTGGAAGAACTTCACATCGTTCCACTCGACTCCGTCTATGGAGACTGAGACACAGACAATCCGTCTATAGATCGGTACTTAAATAATGAAATTCTTTCATTTATTAATTCACTGTGATTTCACATTTGTCACATTACTGTCAAACAGGAAGTAAACACATGAAAACTCTTGATGTAAGAATAAACTCACATTAATCCACAAACAACAAACACTGAGACAACGGATGAACTGGAACACAGTGTGAGAACCAATCAGGGCCGGGCACACATCCACAGTGGTGGGAAACACACGGACAGGAAGTGAGGATCTGAAACAATACGAGAGGTGAGCAACCCCTGTGTGTGTGTGTGTGTGTGTGTGTGTGTGTGTGTGTGTGTGTGTGTGTGTGTGTGTGTGTGTGTGTGTGTGTGTGTGTGTGTGTGTGT